TTCACAGCAGGCTCTCCGCCCTTTCAGTGAAGCTGCTCAGCGAGGGCATCCAGCACCTGGACAGAAGCCACACTGCCCACCCAGCTGTGGTGGGAAGTGCAGAACAGAGGGCTTTAGGGAGCAGTGACCGTCACCCCTTTAGTTCTCTGGGTGCAGACCACGCCACCTCCCACTTGGTACCCCCCAACACAGTGTCCTGCCACCTGGCACCTGCTCCAGGAAAACATGCTTGCCTTCCTCCCTGGCAGCTTCCTGGCTCACCTTATGGACTCTATTCTGTTTGTACATAATGGCTAATGTAAATCTTTTTGGTATAACCGAATAAAGCCTGGTGGCAGTGCTGTGCGGGGTTCCCTGCCCTGCTGGGAAGGACTGGGGAACCACCCACCCAGCAAGGAGAGCCTCTTGGCCCTTGTGGGCATCCCCAGAATGGCAGGCACCCTCCCTAACTTCTTCCCACAAGGGACAACCGGGAGAGGGCGTGCCCCCACCACGCACCCAGCAGCCGGTAGGGCAGCGAGCAGCCTGGCATTGAGTGGAACCTCAGCCTCCAGCCCTCCAAAGGGGGGCTGCCCCCTATAGCAAGGGAAGCTAGAGTAGGAAGGAGAACCAGGGCTGAGGCTCCTTGACCCTGCAGGGGCCACGTGATCTCTCCTTCCTGCACCCCTGTCAGGGCCCCCCTGGAGCAGCCCAGAGGCCAAACAAGGCTCTTATGGCAGCCTCCACTGTCCTCTGCTTTTGTGAGGTCGACCTCACCACCCAGCAAAGGAGCCAGAGGCGAGGTGCACCGAGGCTGTCCCACAGCCCAGAAGGCAGCGTCTCGCCTTGCTCTCCTAGCCAGGGGCCAAGGTGTGAAGCACAGGCAGGCCATCCTGGTCCCACCAGGCCCCCACCTTCAGGAGTGGGGTGGTGCCAATGCTCCCCCTTGACCCCTGGGCTTCGGGGTCCCCTGAGCAGAGGAACCAGCCTGTCCCCCAAGATTGGTGCAGGGGCAGGGGCTGCCTGGGCCCGAGGCTGGGGGAGGGTGGAAAGGCCCTGAGTGTGCTGCCTGTGGCTGGCTCCGTTCCCTTAGCAGCACTGGAGGTCAGGGCCCACACCAGTGGCCCAGAGACTCAGCCACAGAGGGAGAACCCACCCGTCTCCCACCCTCAGCTCCGGGGAGGCATGCTCCAGGCCTCTGGGGCCAGAGCTCAGGCCCCCAACTCTTGCCCCCTTGGACCTGGCCTGGCCAGAAGGGATGGGGGCAAGCGGAAGGCAGCCAGGGGTGCCAGCCCATGCCCTCACAGATTCAGCTCTCAAGTGTGGGTGCAAAGGAATTGGTGAAGACACTGAGGACCATGCCAGCAGTGGCCCTGCACTTGCCCCCAGGAAGCACCAACGCTAGGTTCCCTTGGGCTGGGGTTCGGTCAGGCATAGTTCCTGGCCAGCTTCACCCGGGGATCTGAAAACCTCTGGGCTGCCCAGGCCAACTTTGCCCTGCTGCCGCACACCCCGCTGCCCTCTCCTACCCAGTCTTGGAGACTTCCAGGCCCGGTACCCCTCGTGGTCCGACTGCCCATCCTCCAGCACCCCTCATTCCGAGGCCGGCTTATTTATTTATTTACCATTAACTGCAAGGTGGGCGGAGTAGGGGAGAGCTGGAGCGCCATCCCGCGCCCCGCGGGGTCCGGAATCCCCGAGTGGGACGGTGGGGGCGGGGTCCCCAGCGGTGCCAGGCGAGGTCCGGGTCTGGGGTCCAGGCTCAGGCGGCGCGGCAGTCGGCTGCGCGCAGGGACAGGAAGACATCCGCCTTGCACTGGAAGGTCCCGAGGCCGTCGGGGAGCCGCTCGCACCTCTGCAGGTTCGGGGCAACGTCCTGGACGCACAAGGCCTGGGGCGGGTGGGCGGAGGCTGAGGGGCCGCCGCGCCCCCACCCCTGTCCTGCCGCCGCCCCCCGACAGCTCCTGGCCCACCGGACTCACCAGACTCCGCAGCCTGGGGTGCAGCTCGAGGGAGGCGCCTGCCGGGCCCGGGGGCTGCGCCCCGCTGTGGACCTGGGAGCGCCGCGCGTACGGGGACCTGCGGAAGCCGGACAGCAGCCCCGCAGCGCGGCCCACGGAGTAGGAGTTGCGCCCCGCCGCTGACTTGTACCACGCGAGGCCAGGCGGCGCCAGCAGCAGGCACAGCGCCAGGGCGGCGGCCGCCAGTGTCGCCGGCCGGGCCATGGGGCTGTGGGCGGGCGGGCAGCGCGTCGGGGCTCAGAGCAGCCACCTCCCGGGCCGCCTTATATCTGCGGTGGGGCGGCGGCGGGGGCGGGCGGAGGCTGCCGAGAGGCCGGGGTGGGCGGACTGGCTGGGGGTGCAGCGGGCGCGGGCGCGGAGGACTCGTCGCCCCTCTCCATCCCAGAGGAACCAGCAGCGCGGGTGAGCGCCGGAGGCGCGCAGAGGTCTGGCGCTTGGTGGAAACCCGACGCCCCCTCAAGCTTCCCACCCAAGCCGCTCGCGCCCTCCAGGCCCGGCCTGCGTGGGCCTCAACGGGAGCAGGGGAAGGCCCACGGGCGCCCAGCCCTAGGAATCGTCCCCCAGGCGGTCCGCAGTACCCCTGAGGCTGGAGAGGACTGCACAGTGCCCAGGGGGCGGTTTCTCCCACCCTAAGGGAGATTCTTGGCCGAGGCATGGGAGTCCACGCGGCTTGCGGGGTCCCTCATTTCTTTCGTGCCCATCAGGGGAGGTTCCACCAGCAGGGCTGCTACTGGCCGGGTCCTCTGGGAGCAGGGCAAGAAGGCCAGGCACTGACCTCAGGAAAGCCACATGAGGCACTGGAGCTCTAGGATTCCTGGCCTAGGATTGGAGGCCCCTCCCTGCCCAGCTCTGCCCCTGCGGCCGGTGGCCTGGAAGCTCCTTCCACCTACGTGTGCCTGGCACCTTCTTCATTCACGCAGCAGACATGGAGGTCCAGACAAACGGGAGGTCAGACAGTCCCCCATCAAGGAAATGGAGCTGGCGGCAGAGCGCAAAGGAGTTGCTCCAGGGATGAAGCAGAGGCCTGGGGAATGTTTTCAGAGGTCTCCAGAATTCTGGGCCTGTCTGGCAGGGTACACAGGCTGAGGCTCTCGACCTGACAGGACCCCAAAAGGGCCCTGAGCTTTCATAGGGGAGGCAGATGGCGGAGCAATGCAGGAGACGGAGCAGAGCCGGCCCAGGAGAAGCCCCTGCCGCGCCCAGGAATCACAGAATTGGAGAAATCCAGGTGGCTGGGAAGCCAAGAGGCAGGCAGTTGGCCACAGTGGGTTCAGAGTTGAGCCTGCACATCCTGTCATTCAGGAGGAGGCACCAGGAAGGACGGAGGCAGAGCACATTCCCTAGGAGAGGCTCCATCTCCCAGGAGACGGTGGGCACTCCAGGAAGGGGGACAGGCAGGGGCCTGACCCCACTGAGCCTGGGGAACCCGAGCCAGAGAACAGCCAGGAAGCTCTGAGGCAACAGACCTCTCACCCGCGTCACTGCGGCCCCTGTGGGTGTCCCAGCCAGCTGCATCCTGACTCTTCAGTGTTGGCACCCATGCCAAGATCCAGACTTCGGTGCCTGCCCAGCACTGGCCAGATGTAAGTTTGCAGAGCCGCCAGGAGAAGTTCTGCAGGGCACCAGGCAGGACTGCTGGCCACTCTCCTGGCAGGTGCCATTCAAGCTCACTGTGCCCTCACCACTTCATGCTCTCCCCAGGTCCTGGTCACGTCCTCTTTTAGATATGTCCTCAGGACAGGCACTGGCACTGCAGCCCTGACACCTGTGTTTCTGGGTTCCATGCTTCCCAGGTATGATGGTGAATACTGTCAACTTGATAGGATTGAAGGATGCAAAGTACTGTTCCTGGGTGTGTCTCCGTAAGGGTGGTGCTAAAGGAGATTCACATTTGAGTTGGTGGACTGAGAAGCAGACCCACCCCCAATCCAGGTGGGCACCATCTTATCAGCTGCCAGTGTGGCCAGGATACAAGCAAGCAGAGGAACGTGAAGGACTGGACGGGCTGATTCCTCTGGCCCCCATTTCTCTTCCATGCTGGGTGCTTCCTGCTCTTGAACATCGGACCCCAAGTTCTTCAGCTTTTGGACTCTTGGACTCACGCCAGTGGTTTGCCAGGGGCTGTCGGGCCTTTGGCCACAGACTGAAGGCTGCGCTGCTGGCTTCCCTACTTTTGTTTTGGGGCTCAGACCTGCTTCTTGGCTCCTCACCTTGCAGATGGCCATTGTGGAACTTCACCTTGTGATTGTGTGAGTCAGTTCTCCCAATAAACTCCCTCCCTAGATACGTCTATCCTGTACGTCCTGTCCCTCTAGGGAACTCTGACACAGATTTCTGGTGAGTTCTGGTCTAGTCCCCAGGGTGCTGTGAGGAAGGAAGCAAGTGTCAAGAGACTCACACTGGGCACGGGGCACTTGTCCTGTGCATGCCAAGGGCTCCCTAGGTTATTGGACACAGCCTGTGCCATCTCCATCCAGAAGCAGCCTGAGGCCCTGGGGCTGGGCTACCGCTCCCCCAGCAGCCCTTCTGCTATTATGGTGAGCAGAGGCACCCCAAGGACCCTCCCAGGGCCACCCTTCCCTAGGCAAGGGACCCTCAGACATTTGTGGACATACTTCCCAGTGTCAGGACATCAATCCCTACACTGCGAGGGGCCCAGCCCCAATGAGGAGCTGCCTTCAGTCCCAGTGAGAGAGAAGGGATGGAGAGAACAGACGCCCGCTCAGAGATGGTGGCCTTCAGTCTGGAGGGACCATGAGCAGCAGCTGGCAGCTGTGCATGACCAGGGTCCCTCAGAGCCAGCCCGAGGAAGGGTTCCAGGGCCACCGCCAGGCTTCCAGCAGGCAAGAGCATGCCCCAGGCCCTGTCTCATCCTGCTCCTTGACTCAGGGTTTGATGTGGGCCTTGGCAGTGTTTCACGGAGATGTTTATTCATGAGTTTTCATATCAAAACACATGGAGACCGCATCAATATGCCGAGAACACAAGCACCCAAAGGCCTCCGGCAAGATTTGAGTAGTTTAATGAGTTTTACTTATTGGATAAAAGTGTCAACATCGTGATGGAAAAACAAACGAAGCTCCAGCCCTCGTTCCACCTTGTTGAAGCCCAAGAGAACTGTCCCCAGCAGTGACTACAGCCATTGGCGCCAGCATGAGGAGGGGTCTCAGGACGCCACCTCCAGCGAGGGCAAGGCTGAGCCCTCACTCCTTGAACTTCCACTCCTGACGACACATGGGGCAGTGCTGCTGCACCTGCTGTGCGTGAAGCCACTTGAGGATACAGTGCATGTGGAAGCAGTGGGAGCACTGGCCCCACACCAACGGGCAGTCGTCACCGGGCACCTTGCCTGCAGGGGGGTGGGGGGGGAGAGAGGATGGGTGTGACCAGGCTGGACACAGAGCATGTGACAAGTCAGGCAGGGGCGCAGGGAGGGACCCTGGGCAGTGTAGTTTCTCATGTTTCAGAAAAGCCGAAATCAGGAGAGTTACCCAATCAGTCTCCTGACTAGACTGCCCTCAGGCAAAGAGCAGCAATGACCAAGGAACGCCAGACAGGAGGCCCCCACCCAGGACAACTGCAGCAGGCACTCATCTTGCTCAGAGGATAGCCGGGGGCCTCTCTGAGGCAGCGCTATCGGGGAGGAGGAGCTCTGGCCTAGCCCACCTTGTTTCCCCTGTGCTTGAGACTGCGGAAAAACGGCATTGTCTGACCTACAAGCCCTGGGGACCATCTGCAGACACTTGATCTGTGATGCCAAGAAGGTCATATGAATGGTCAAGGCACCAAGGAGACTCCCATCTGGGTAGTGAACCAGTCTCTTGATCAAGGGCAGGCGGGGTGGGCCTGGGGACCTGGAAGACTCTTCCTAGACATCCGGGATTGGGTGTGCTGCTCGGGCGCTGGAAACAATGTGCTGATGGGCAGCTGTGGATGGGCCCTGCCAGCCAAACAGCACTGCATCCATCTCCTTCCCATCTGCTAACTCAAAGGGCTCTGCCTCCCAGGACAGGCAAAGGCTGCGGGCACTGGCCCAGACACCTAGAAATGCTTTCTCCACGGAGAGGGCCTGGCACAGAGAAGGGTGCTCGCATCACCCACGATCAAGAGAAACAAGCACCCCTGATCTCCAAGGACCTGAAGACCCCATGGAACAGCTGCGGCCAGCTGAGCACAGCAAGTCCTGGGGGAGGGCTCATTGGGACAAAGGTGCTGCCTCATTCTAGTGTGTCCGCCACGTGATGCTGGCCTGGGGTGTCTGATGAGTCCGAGGATGCACTGAGGGTGACTCATTCGAGGACCTGCCCGTCTCCCTGATTGCATTTTTTAAATTAAAATACCTCTCGGCAACATTCATTGTTCCCAGAGTCCTCTGGGATACGGAATGGATTCATTGTTTACCAGCCTCAGGCTCCCAGGGTCTTTGTCGAATTTAGTCACTCCAAATTTTTCACAGGACTTCAATTTTAGCAAAAGAAACCTGGGGCTGCTTATCCTCTATGGAAAGCACATTAGACTTGTCAAACACTGTGCCTTAAAACTGACTCACTAAAGGGTGGGCGGGGTGGCTCACACCTGACATCCCAGCACTCTGGGAGGCCGAGGCGGGCGGGTCACCTGAGGTCAGGAGTTCCAGACCAGTCTGGCCAACATGGTGAAACCCTGTCTCTACTAAAAATACAAAAATCAGCCAGGCGTGGGGGTGCATTCCTGTAATCCCAGCTACTCGGAGTCTGAGGCAGGAGAATCGCTTGAACTCAGAAGGCAGAGGTTGCCAGTGAGCCGAGCTGGCGCCCCTGCACTCCAGCCTGGGCGAAAGAGCAAGACTCCAACACACACACACACACACACACACACACACACACCCCCACCCACACACCTCCCCACCCCCACCCCCCATGAGTGTGGTGGTGTGCTATCTGGCAGGCTGAGGCAGGAGGACTGCTGGAGCCCAGGAGTTCAAGTCCAGCTAGGGCAACATAGTGAGACCCTGTCACTAGAACAACAACAGAAACAACGAAAAATGCCGGGCGCGGTGGCTCACGCCTGTAATCCCAAGCTGAGACCGGCAGATCACAAAGTTAGGAGTGAGACCAGTCTGGCCAACATAGTGAAACCCTGTCTCTACTAAAAATACAAAAAAATTAGCCAGGTGTAGTGGTGTGCACCTGTAATCCCAGCTATTTGGGAGGCTAAGGTAGGAGAATTGCGTGAACCTGGGAGGCAGAAGTTGCAGTAAGCTGAGATCGTGTCATGACACTCCAGTCTGGGTGACAGCAAGACTCCATCTCAAAAAAAAAAAAAAAAAAAAAGCCTCTATTATCAATATGGGCATTCACCTGGCCCCACCAAAATACACCTGGTTACCTGGGTTAGTGAGAAGGAGCTTCTCAGCTCTCCCCATTCCCCACTGTCCTCTGGGGAGTTTTTCCTGTCCTCCCTGGGCAAAGCCCTGGCCCTTGCTTCTGGTTTACATTCATTTTGGTGTCATGAAAAACCATTTCATTGGTGTAAAACTCTGCTTTCATCCTAAATGTAATCAAACATCTCCACTTTACAGAACTTCCTGGGGACAGAGAGAGAATGCAAAAGACACTATAAAGAATGATAAGCCTGAAGATAGAGCACCCTGCAAGGAAACATACCACATTTTTAAGAGATTCAAATGTCTTGAAAAAGTTAAAGTTGGATAGAGGAGGGGGTTTGTAGATTACAGGGCTAAGAAATGGATTAATGAAAAAAAAAAAAAAAAAAAGAAATGGATTAATGTTGAAAAGTTAAGTCCTGGCCGGGTGTGGTGGCTCACGCCTGTAATCCCAACACTTTGGGAGGCCAAGGCAGGCAGATCACCTGAGGTCAGGAGTTTAAGGCCAGCCCGGCCAACATGGCGAAGCCCTATCTCTACTAAAAATACAAAAATTATCCTGGTGTGGTGGTGAGTGCCTATAATCCCAGCTACTCAGGAGGCTGAGGCAGGAGAATTGCTTGAACCTGAGAGGTGGAGGCTGCAATTCACACCACTGCCTGGCCAACAGAGCCAGGCTCCATCTCAAATAAATAAATAAATTAATTAAAATAAATAAATAAAAGTTGAGCCCTGTGCCAGGCACAGTCCCTCACACCTGTAATCCCATGAAGGCATATTGTGAGGTCAGGAGTTTAAGACTAACCTGACCAATATGGCGAAACCCCATCTCTACTAAAAATACAAAAATTAGCCAGGTATGGTAGCACATGCCTGTAATCCCAGCTACTCAGGTGGCTGAGGCAGGAGAATGCCTGAACCCAGGAGGCGGAGGTTTCGGTGAGCCGAGATCGCGCCATTGCACTCCAGCCTGGGTAACAAAAGCGAAACTCCGTCCCCAAAAAAATAAATAATAAATAAATAAATAAATAAATAATAATAAAAATAAAATAAAATAAAAGCCGAGCCCTGGCTCAAGCCACTCAACCATAAAAAAGACATTTGGGGACAGCTGGTGGAACAAGGAGCAGGAATGACTGAAACTGCCAGATGTACAACAGTGGGCAAAAACACACGTGGCTGAAGTATGTGGGAAGAGGAATCAGATTTAAAATTTTAAATCATTAAGCACAAAAAATAAAGCTAATATAGAAACATGATTTGCTGTTTTTCAACGAGCTGGAAAGGGAATGCCCTTATTCCATTCAACTTTTTTTTTTTTTAGATAGAGTCTTGCTCTGTTGCCCAGGCTGGAGTGCAGTGGTGCGATCTTGGTGCACAGCAACCTCCGCCTCCCAGGTTCAGGTGATTCTTCTGCCTCAGCCTGGAGTAGCGGGCATTACAGGCACCCACCAACAAGCCAGGTTAATATTTTTGTATTTTCAATACAGACAGGTTTTTGCTATGCTGACCAGGCTGGTCTCAAACTCCTGGCCTGAAGCAATCCACCCACCAGCCTCCTAAAACACTGGGATTACAGGCGTGAGCCATCAGGCCCAGCATATGCCATTCAATTTTGAGATCTTTCAACTAAAAAGTTTAAACTAATCTCTTTTTAATGCTATGTATTTCACAGCTGAGTTTCAACTTATCAAATGCAGTGACAGGATCTTTATACAGACCTGGGTTCCAACCACCTAGTTTTTTTTGAGACGGAGTTTTGCTCTTGTTACCCAGGCTGGAGTGCAATGGCGCGATCTCGGCTCACCGCAACCTCCGCCTCCTGGGTTCAGGCAATTCTCCTGCCTCAGCCTCCTGAGTAGCTGGGATTACAGGCACGCGCCACCATGCCCAGCTAATTTTTTGTATTTTTAGTAGAGACGGGGTTTCACCATGTTGACCAGGATGGTCTCGATCTCTTGACCTCGTGATCCACCCGCCTCGGCCTCCCAAAGTGCTGGGATTACAGGCGTGA